GACAGACCCATGGCAGGGAGGGAGTCGTGTTGGGTGGAGACATTTGTTTCCACAGTGATTTGGGGGACCCTGAGCCGGAGCTGAGGTTATGTTCACGAGGTGGTGGTGGTGGGTGATCTCTGGCTCTGAGACAGAATTACAAACGTGGGGATGACAGTGTGCAGAACAATAGAGCCTGAGGGGCTTCAGAAACATCCCATGCCCCCGCTGCGTTCCGAGGACGTGGGGCCCCGGGGGAGACATTTGTTTCCACAGTGATTTGGGGGACCCTGAGCCGGAGCTGAGGTTATGTTCACGAGGTGGTGGTGGTGGGTGATCTCTGGCTCTGAGACAGAATTACAAACGTGGGGATGACAGTGTGCAGAACAATAGAGCCTGAGGGGCTTCAGAAACATCCCATGCCCCCGCTGCGTTCCGAGGACGTGGGGCCCCGGGAAGGGCCTCGCCTCACCCATGTCGCAGGCAGGGGCCCTTTTCGGAATCGGTCCCCGCTGTCCAGGTGAGAGAGGACACTCAGCACAGCACTGTTGTAGGTGCGAAAGGGGGGAAACCACCTCCATGTCCGACACAGGAGGTCAGGTAAACGGCATGAAGTTGGCATTTTTATTGGTCAGAAATGCTTGGATATTGACAATCTCATGTGGTTCCATCGATGGAATGGCATGGCATGCAGTCTTTAAAGGAATGAGATGGAGAACGCGCCAAGATACATTATGAAATGGAGAAAGCGAGCTGCAGAGCAGTGTACCTGTTACGTTCCACGTGTGCTCGTAGAAAAGGCATCAGACACGGATTTGCTGGTATCAGCTTGGCTCTGGAGGGAGACGCCAGACCTCGTCCAAAGTGGCCGCCTTGGGGAGGGGAACAGGGGCCAAGGAAGGGTACGAACCCCCTCCCCTGGCAGCCTCTGCACCTTCCGAATCGTATACTCTGTGTGTAGGGCTGATATAAAATAAGTTCATTAAAATGTCGACCATCAGTGAAGCGCTCGCTGCTAGGGGTGAAGAGCTCAGACTCCGGCCTGAGAATTCTGGGCTTCCGCTCGTTCCACCTCACGGAGCCTCAGTTTTCTCATCTGTCGAGTGGGGTTGTAAGGGGGTTTACTTCATAGAGTGGAAGTGACGATTTCCTGGAGACAGGAATGGGGAAGGCTCAGCATAGAGTCACAGAGAACTCGGTCAATATTGTTTTATGATAAATGACGCATAAGTCATCACACACATAAATCCTGATGACTCGTGGGGCTTGTTCGCTCCCTTGGACGACAGATTAAAAATAGCTGCGTGTGCTGAGGGTGGGGAGCTGGGATGCCGTCTGCGGGACCGTGCGCCCACGCAGGGGCGGCCGCGCTGGGGTTGCAGGGTGGGTCTGATGATGATTTCCTGAACCGCATCCCCGTGCACACAGGCAGGTGAACTAATAGAATTAAGCTTATTGGTTTGGTTCCTCTGGGTTCGCTTGGCGAGGGGAGAGCAGCTGGATGGATATTTTAATTAAGCTCTGACACCCAGAAGTCAAAGTCCCCGCGTGGTCCCAGGGGGCCAGGCCGTGCAGTCTGGGGTTTAATCAAGTTGGGTCTCAGAGTTCAAATTTCTTCCCGGATAGAAATGTGTCATTAGGCATCCCAGATTCCCACTGGAGAAAAAAATGCAAGTTGACCGTATTTTCCCTAGAGAATGACACCGTGATTCGATCAGCCCCCTTCCCCTGACATTTTGCCCACTTTATTAACTTCTGCTTTGCTTTTAAGCAGGCAACTACTGTTTTACTTCCCCGAAGAAGCTCATAATATTATAATTCAAGTGTCAGGACAGATTAGGTTAAACGAACTGTGTAATTCCCGAAGGAAAACAAACTTCAAAACGGACGTGGCCGCCTTGTAACATGTCATGGATCGCATTAGCGGCGAGCGGGCGATTCTATCACCTAATGTGCTAAAGTTGGCTCGAATGTTCCCCACT